CTCTCCTGACCCGCCCACTGCTCCCCTCAGCAGTGTACTTCCTCGATCTGCCTGTTCTGCTCCCCACTCTGTCTCTGGTGAAGCCTCTCGCCGCCTCTGGCCTGTACCCCCGCTCTGTATGTACAAATAAATAAATCTTTAAAAAAAAAAAAAAAGAGCAGAAGAGAACTCAAGGCCCCACTTTGTGCTGCTGGGCCCTCCTACCTCCACATTCAGTAGGAGCTAAAGGACCTATACATCCACTCAAAGCTAGCACACAAACGACTCTGTCTAGATCACAAGACAGTACACCTAAACGTTTATGTGCAATCCTTATGGCAGCCAGAAATCTGGCTATCCTGTTAATCCTTTTGTTATTAAGTGAGCAGCAATGCATAGCTCAGAATTAATTCAAAATCCACCAGAAAATTCAATGAGAATCCTCTTTCTGGGAGATCGTGGGGCACCACATTCCTGCCTTGTAAACTTGTCCTCTGCCAAGTTTACAAATTAGTTGCCATAGTTCTCCTTTTCACAAACTCCCATTAACCAGCCAACTAAAAAAGCCAAAACAAACAAGGAAAGAAAAAAAAAAAAAAACCGTGTTGGTGGGGAGGAGGAAGAGGGAGCCCTTCATTCATTCTTGCTTGCTTAATGCAGCCTGGAGACAGATTCCTGCCAATGGGATACGCTGCCCCATTCATCTCTCACCCAGTGAATAAGATGCCTTTATTTTAAAAACAGCTGTCCTGGAGCCTGAAAACTCAGATAAGAAGAAGAAATCGCATAGATAAATAAGTGTAAACGTCAGAAACTAATAATGCTGAGCCCTGACATGACTTTTCCAGGTGTCCATGCCTAGTGGGTCAGATATGCGTGGAAAGCAGAAACACACACACACACCCTTGCAGCTCACACACGATCTGCTACAAGTAAGCCCAAAGGTACTCAGTACCAACGATAGGTTGTCAACAAAGCTGTCTGTACCTAAGGAACTCTGGTCTTCCCCAAGTTGGATGAGAATGAGAGTCCAAAAATTATATTCCAAGGGAGCTTTTTCATAAATAGCCAAACCTGCAAGGCCACCTCTCTGCCGACCTTACAGCCTTTTCCTGTCTTCTGAAACACTCAGCTTTCACACGATTCCTTGGAGGTAGTTCCAGTTCCGCGCAGAGCGCACCCCATCTCTCCAGGCTACAGCCGGGTAATGCCCGGCCTCTTACTCCCAGGAAACTTCGCCACCGCCCCACGAGAAGTAAAGGGCACGGGTAGGGGGGCGACAGAGAGCGAAAACGGGTCCCTGGGGCCGAGGGCACCAACTCAAGAGAAAAATGAGTGAACCAGCCTTCCCCACGTGGAGGAAGGAGTCGGAGACATGCTGGTGGGTGCCCTCTCTGCTCCGGGAGCTCCCATTTCCTGGCGGGGTTAAGAAGATGGGCAGATCAGAGTCCCCCAGCAGGGAGCTGTCCCGCGCCCCTAGCCTGGGAGCCGCGAGCTGCGCGCACAGCTGGCATCCAGAGGTCGGGGTCGGGGCGCGGATAGTGTGCACCTGCCGCCTGCGAGGCACAGTGCTCCAAGCCTGGACAGAGCTCCCTGCCTGAGGGGAAGGAAGCGAAATCTAGCTTGCCAGCAGGGCCCGGGGCGGGTTTTCGACCCAGTTCGCGCACGCCCACCCGCAGAGGGCCCCTAGCTGGCCGCACGCGCCCCGCGCCCGAGCCCCACGTCTCCGGCACCTGGATGTGGCATGAGATCTCCGAGTCGTCCAGCAGCCGGATGGTGCATTTCATCTCCTGGTTGAGTGATTTAATGCTGGAGCTCCGAAAGTGGATCATTTTCATGGTTCTCCTCCCTCTCGGCACACAGTGGCAGGAGGCGAACATGCACCGCGGCCCGGGGAGCAAGCGGGAGGCTCGGGCCGGCTCGGAGCTGGCCGGGGCGGACACACACCCTCGCTCACGCACCGTCCCAGATCCCCAGGCGCGGCTCAGCCCCGGGACAGCGGCGGCGACGGGCGCCTGTGGCCACACATGCCGGGCTGCCGGGGCGCGGCGGGCGGGTCCCTCCCTCTCGCCCTCCTCCTCCCTAGCCTCCGCCTCAACCGCTCCTTTCTCCGCCTCCGCGCGTGGCGCGCGCTCCTGCGCCTCCCTCCGCCTGGGCTCGGGTTCCGAGGATGCTCGGAGCGGGTGACCCCCAGCCGGGGCGCGACGCATTCACTCCCACGCGCGCTGAGCCGCGGGAAGGTGAGGCGAAGGCGCGGCTGGCGGTTGTGGCCAAGCGCCCGGGCGGTGGCCTGCTCTGCCTCGGCCGCCGCTGCGTCAGGCTGGGCCCGGCTGCCTCCTCCCTCTCCGGCCGCGATCGCTCTAGGTCCAGACCAGCTCCCTCAAGCGCCCGAAACCCCCTATTCCCTTGGGCCCCAGGGACCTGGTCGCTGGCGGGGGAAAGGCGGAGGGGAGGTGTTGGGGGGGGGGGGGACGGAGAGAGATCCTGACCCACACCATCGAGGAGGAGTGCGCCGCCGCCAGAGGATGGTTGGACTGAGTGGAACCCCCTGAGAGTAAAATGAGGCCCTGACACGGCTACACCAGGAATATTGCTAATAGTAACGATCTCTGCGGATGTTATGGGGATGTTGTCTTTGTTTTATTTAATATTAATCGGAAGACAATCCCCTTCTCTTAAGAAATTCAGAATCTTATCTGAGCTTTTTTTTTTTTTTTTTTTTTTTTGTCTCCCAGCATCTCAGTAAGATGATCTTTGATTAGTGGTACCTTAGACCTGAGCTAAATGGTCAATTTTCCCTCTCTCCCTTAGACAGCTTGTTCTGCACCCAGCCAGGCTCCACCTGCATTCCTGTTTCCCAGGGTTCCAGATGTACCCCGTCCGTTTTACATCAACCTTCCAGTACTAGGAACCAGAATTTGGTGCACTCCTCCTGTGTTGGGGGTTAAAGGATCCTACCCCTCTCTCTTCCCCGCGGTGACTCTGGTCGCTACATGCCATGTCCACAGTGGTTCGAGGCATTTGTGGGAGGGGCAGGTGAACAAAAGTTGGACTTGGGATCTTGCAAGTCCAGAAATTAGAAGATGTTTCTCACTAGCCGCCCTCTCCGGAGCTGAACAGGTGGTTATTGAGAAGTAGCTGTTAAAGAAGGAGCTTATTCAACAGTTGAAGCAACTGCAGCTGCACAAGCCCCTCATGCAAAGGCAGGCGCCATCCTGAGGGTGCGGGAAGGGTGCTTGTCATATTCTGGGCATAAAAGCTTTTGCACCCAATGGGGTTGACTGAGAAGTCACATTGTTATGGACTTCTCCCCCTAACTGCTTCTGATTCCTCCAGTGTTGATCGATAACACCAGATAGGTCACAGTCTCAGGATCGACTTAGAAAGACTCCAAACTGTTTTATTTTCCAAGTTAGGACGATGGAGTATATTTCCTTTAAAAGTTAAGAGCTTGATTTTTGTTCTTAAATATTTAAATAAATATTTAAATAATGGGATGGAATTAAGGCAGGGCCTGACAGGGAGATGGGTGTTGAGGTCTGGGAATTTGACTCTTGGTGCAGTTTCTGGTCAATTAAGTGGCCTTGGGAAAGTCTTCATTTCTTTTTCCAACTTCAAATGGGAGTCTATCTGTGTTAGTTCTGTCCTCCTCTAAAGCTGGAATGAGACAAGACCACAGAGGACTGTATTTCATGAAGCCCCATAAGCTTGTACACAGTGACAGTGATGGGACTGTCCTCACAGGGGTTGAACAATTCCTCCCAACCCAAAGGGCATATCTAAGATCATCTTGAGGTCAGTTTTTTTTTTCTTTTCAATAGTTTTATTATTTTCTCTCCTTGTCCGTTATAGTCCTGCTATGAGTGAAACCATCGGTATTTTTCCTTTTCTTTCTGGCTTATTTCAGTAAGCATGATCTCTTCCAGCTCCATCCATGTTGCTTCAAAAGGCATGTGTTTATTTTTTTTGTTGGTTGCTGAGTAATATTCCTTTGTGTATATACACCACATCTTTTTAATCCAGTCATCCACTTTTGGGCAGTTGGGCTGTTTCCATGTTTCTCCAATTGTAAATAAAGCAGCAATAAACATGAGGGTGCAGGTGTCTTTTTGAATCAGTGTTTTGTGTCTTTTGGGTAGATCCCACCTAGGAGTGGGATTGCTGGGTCATATGGAAGCTCCATGTTTAGCAGTTTAAGGAATGAGGTCAGTTTTTTACATGAAATCAAATATACATCTGTTGTTGCCTCTTCCCAATTTTTGTTATTCCCTAAATTGTATGTTTCTGCTGTTAATGTAAGTGGTTAGGAATTTTAAAAAACTAATCTTGGTATTTCAAATTAATTGCATAAATTATTCAAGGGCATAAGCTATGTGTCCATCTTTAAGAAAGGATTAATTTCTATAGGGATGGTGGCTTTTTAAAATCCTTCCTGTTTATTGTTCCCAAGGCTGCCATAAGGCCATTGTTTTTTGTTTGTTTTACTAAGGTAACATTGGTTTCCAATACTCTATATGAGTAAAAAGTGGAGGATTACACCTCTTTAAATATCTATTAAGCAGCACACCCAACATCCAATAGTCCCCACCATACTCCATTTTGCTTTCCACCTTCCTCCCCACTTTGACATCCTCAATTTTACAGTCAGCTATCTAAGTGTGTTTTTTCCTTTTCTCTCTGACCGTTTGTTTTACTTACTGCACACAGAGTGAAACCATCTGATATTTATCTTTCTCCTTCTGACTTATTTTGCTTAGAATAACCCCTCTAGTTCTACCTATGTTGTTGCAAATGGTAAAATTTCCTCTTTTTTATGGCTGAACAGTTTTCTACTATATAGATACACCACATTTTGGGAATCCACTCCTCTGTCTGTGGGCATTTAGTTTCCATAATTTGCTGATTGTACAAAATGCTGCAATGGACATAGGAGTACACGTATTCCTTCAAATTATAGTGTTTTTGCATTTTTCACAGAGATACCTGGGAGTGAACTTGCTGGGTATTTTTAATATTTAATAGATCTATTTTTAATATGTAATAATACTCTTTTCTACAGGGGCTGGACCCATATACATTCTCACCAACGACATATAATAGTTCTTTTTCCTCCACTCCCTCGCCAACACTTGCTTCTGGTCTTTTTGATATGAGTCAATCATACAGGTATAAGATTGGGTCTGACTCTGGTGTTGATTTCCATTTCACTGGTGATAAGTAATGATGAGCATTTTTTCAAATGCCTAATGGCCTTCTACAAATTCTTCTTTGGAAAACTGTCTACTTAGCTCTTATGCCCATTTTTGATTGGGCTTTGTAGGAGAGGGGGTGTTGCTGCTACTATTAATATGTATGTAAACAGAGATCAGTTATTTTAAAGCAATGTGTTCGTCCTTATTTTAGCGACCTTTTGGCTTCAAAACAGCTAATACCTCAATACATCATGCTCAATACCCCAAAACTATTATCTCACATTTCCAGGAAACAGAGAGAACTTGACAAAGACAGGAGGAAGTAAATACTAGCATTTACCAGGGTTTCATAAATGCAGAGATTGTAACAGTTCTTTTGCTGTGTGGGATTTTTAAAGTTTTCAACATATACGTCATATCATCTGCAAATAAAGATGATTTTATTTCAACCTGTCCCATTGGAATGCCCTGTATGGCCCTGGTTAGACCTTTCCAGAACTATGTTGAATAGATGTGGCAAGGGTAGAGACTGATATCTTTGACTTACTCTTGATAGTAGAGGGAAAGATTTCAGGTTTTCACTACTGAGTATAATGATCACGATGGACTTTTGATATAAGGTGTTTATTATGTCAAGGCAGTTTCCTCCTATGCCTAATTAGTTGTATGTTTTTGTAATGACAGGGTATTCAATTTTATCAAGTGCTTTTTCTTCACTAATTAAGATGGTCCTATGGGATTTTTTTCTTTCATTTTGTTTATCAGTGATTAATTTTCACATCTTGAATTATCCTTACATTCCAATAATAAATTCTACTTGATCGTGGCCTTTTAATATACTGTTGAGTTCAGTTTGATAATATTTTTTTAAGATTTTTGCTTCAATGTTCATAAGGAATGATGGTCTTCAGTTTTCTCTTCTTGCAGTGTCTTTGACTCATAGTGTAAATTTAAAAGTATTTATTCCTCTTTAATACTCTGGATAAAATTGAGGAGCATTAGTATCAACTCTTTAAATGTTTGGTAGAATTTACCTGTAAAGATGTAAGAGCCAGATTAGAGTTTTTTCTTTGTCACAGATGTTTGATTACCCAACTAAATCTCCTTACTCATTATGGGTCTATCCAAACTCTCTATTTACCCATTATTTAACATTGGTAGGTCTTGTGTTTGGAAGTATTTGTCCATTTCATCTAGGTTATCCAATATTTTTTGGTTTGCAGTTGTTCATAGTACAGTCTTATAAGTCTTGTTTCTATAGAATCAGCAGTAATGCCCCCACTCTTATTTTTTATTTCAGTAATTTGAGTCTTCTCTCTTTTTTCTAAAATTAAAGGTTCACCAACTTTGTTGATCAGTGACATTGAAGTCAGTTTCAATGTCACTGATTTCTCTATTGTTTCCTGTTTTTTATGTCACATATCTATTCCAATCTTTATTATTTCTCTCCTCCTCTTACTTTTGGGTCTAACTTCTTTTCTTTTAGTCCCTTAATTTGTAAAATGTGTTTGTTGACCTGAGATCATGCAAATTCTATAGCTGTTTTTTGTTGTTGTTACTATAAGTATTATGTTTAACATCAGAAAACTGTAAAATTCTAATTTTAATCTGTACCAGCTTAATTTTTAAAAAATACAGAATTTCTGCTCCTTGATAGCTTTGTCCCTACCTGTTCCAGTTGTTCATATTAGAAAATTATATCTTTATGCAGCGTGTGCCCAAAAATAGAAAGCAATAACTTTCTTTAATGCACTAGTCTCTTATTATAGAAAAAAACTTTAGAATTACAAACCAGTTACAATAATACTAGCTTTTAGACTAATATTTATTTTCTTTCAGTATATTAGAACAGATATCCAGTAGAAACCAAAAAAATGTTACAAA